CCCCACTCTGTCCCATCTCTTTCTGCTGGTTTTTAGAATTGTAGGGTGGTACTCATTTTGAAGGATGTTCTCTAGCACTTTGTCTCCTTCCTCCTCGAGCTCATTAGAGGGGAAGAGTTATCTCTACTTTCATGTGTAGTTCCACTGATTGACAAGTAGTCTACATTTTGCCTGCTACAGACTGTGCTTGAAAGGATTAATGGGAGAGCTGAGGTTACTGAAGAGACAGGTATAGGCCATGGATGACTCTTAGCTCTTTCCTGACCAGAGCACTCACCTGTTCCCACTTTACTAGTTGGGGTCTTAGCTCTGGTTGGCTCCCTTGCTACAATGAAAGGGATGAGAGAAAAGAATGGTTGAGTCTTGGGAAGGATTCTAGGAAAAGCATGTTGTGGCATCTCCTCAATGGAGGCTGTCCAAAACCAAGATGATGCAGGCATGTGGACCCCTATGAGTCTAAGTGGGAGAACATTAGCCTGGCATTGAGTGTGCACCTTCTTACCCACCCACCACTGGTGACTCTTTTGCACCCAGTCTCAGCACTGGCCAAGGAGGTGGTATTTGTTGACCCACACTTGTCAGGTGTCTGCCAGGGCCTGGGCATCCATTGGATGGAGAGCATGCCTGGTGTTCTGTCTCTAACCCAAAACTGTCCTGAGGTGTAAACTGGAGGTGAGTTTCCAGTTTCACTGCCTTCTGTTTCCCCCACTGTGCATTCTCAGGGTACCACTGTAGGGGGAGGGAGTGTGTCTTAGCTCATCTCTGATTGCTAGTTGAAGGACAGGAACTCACTGATGTCTGTACCCTGACAAAGGCCTGTGCCTGAGAGCCAAACCTCTGAAGCGTCAAGGGAGGACGATGCAGTGAGGGTCGTGTATGGGCCAGTCTCAGGAGTCCCATGGCAAGGGCAGTGGGAATTGAGAACGAATAGCAAAACTGAAGCCTGTTTGGGATGTGCTGCTTAGGAGAGAATGGTGGGAGCTGGAAGGAGCAGGCAGAGCAGCAGGAAGGGCAGGAGGGAGCCTTACCAGGATATGATGTTCTCAACCATGTCGAGGACACAACTGAGGAGGGGGAAGAAGCAGATGAGGCAGAGGTGACAGGTGAAGAGCTGGGGCTTGGAGACATCCTTGTCAGTGGGACTTCTGGGCTGCTGGCAGAGCTGGCCTCTCTTGGGACAGAGGTTCTGCTGATGGACGTGACAGGAGTGGTCTTCTCTGTGCTAAGATGCTGCACAAGGTGTGGCTTCGTTGGTCTTCTGTGGGTGACAACTACAGAGGGAAAAGCACAGGTCAATTGAGGGTGGCAGGGCAAGAGGGGAAGGCGAAGGAGGTGAGCAATTACCGTGCAGAAGCCCCAGGGTATGGGTAGTGGTAAGAAAGGCAGGACTGGACCCCACTGTGTCTTAGTGGGCAAGAGGGAGAAATGGGCCAATGGCTCCCCCCCCCCCTAAAAATATGGGGCAAGAACTGATCCTGAAGGGTGCCCTCTGACAATTCACCATCCCCTGCCTCTTCCTGGAGCTCCTGAGGGAGGAAGAACCTCTCTGGATATGCAAGAATATCCTCTGGGAAAGCTGGGATAAGTGAGACGGAGTCTTGTGCCAAGGGCATCTCTCAGCTCCCTCTTACTCACCTACTGGGACCTGGTGGTGCAGAGTGGTTGCCTGGGTTCCCTCACTCTCTGTAAGGCAAGGAAGAATAGATATTAGTGATAGCTGGGAGCTGGCAAGGTTCCTAGTTGAAGTGGGCTGTGATACTTCCTCAGAGGAAGCTGTCATTGCTGGCACAAGACAACCCAGCTGTGTGCACCCCAACAGTACTTTGTGGGAGATGCATGGATTGGGAGGGAGTGTACATGTGCTGTCCCGCTACAGTAGATTTCCCCCCACACACTGTCCCAGCCTCTGGTGTCGGCTGCTAACCTAGCAACGCACATTGTCATGCAGCCTCAGAGGAGAATGTTGGCGTGTGGAGTACCTTACATCCTGAAGTGTAATTTCCTTTTTTTTTTTAATATTTATTTTTGGGAGAATTGGTTACAATGGCTAAGGGGAACACATATTCTGCCATCTGTGAGTTTTGAGGAATTCACTTTGAAGCATAAAGAGATTCTGCCTAAATTTGCAGGAAGTGTAGAGTATGGCCTCAAAGAGAAATGTTAGGTTTAAGATGGTACTTGGATGTCAGATATTTGCTCCATTGGCAAGACATATAAATTTCCATTTTTATCACACTTCAGTTATCCATGTCCTTTCCTATCTATTTGCAATGTTAGGACAACTAGTAAGAAAGCTTGGGCTTTTTAATAAGGAATACCTTGGCATTTGTTTTGTCAGTGATGGCTTCACCTGGTAAAAGGTGATATTTACCTACTATTGTCAGTTTAGGCTTTCTGAAAGTTGTGATCTGAGATGTGGTTTGAGTAGGTGTTGAGGTGATTGTAATTTCCTTTTTGATAGTGGTCTTGAAGGGTGGTGTGGTGAACCTTATTTTTTTCCATCTCAGCTGAAGCAGCAGTTGATGAGGCAGCAGGGGTAGGCTTTGGATTAGTGGTCATAGCTCTTTTTGCTGAGGTAGTTATGGAAGGGGTAGTGATGGTTGTAGTCATGTTTGGTGTGGTAAAAATGGATGTTGTATATTCTTTTGGAGTAAAGGTAAATAATAGAATGTATTTAATTAATTGAATAATTAAAAATAGATAAATTATGAAGAAGCTACCCATATTGCAGAGACTCAGTTTTCACCCTTGATCTTTTGAATATTTTCTGTGTAATTGTTTTATTCGTGTTCTCATAAGCTTGCTAAAGCTTTCTCTACTTGTATTTGTTTTCTAATGCCTCATATCTTTCTTTGTTCTCGTTTTCTGTATTTTTCCTGTATTAGATTATTTTTTACATAATTTTCTAAGTTAGCTTTGTTGTCACTGACTGGCCAAAGTCTGTATGGGCTTTGCCCAAATGACAATTTAATTGGCTATTCTAATGTTCTAAATCAGCCACAGTTTCAGCTTTCTGTATTTTGTATTACAAAGCTAAATAATGTAACGGTAAAGAACTTTCTTTGTCCCAGTGCCCAAATCATCTGTCACAATGGCAGCCTTCGAAGTGGTGTGTTGACCCCTGTGTGACCTCTTTTTA